TTAATTTATTTTCATCATGAATTTAAATAATGAATAGTTTCTTGTTTTGCTGGTGTTTATAGTTGGACAATGAACCAAATCGACGCTCAAGTTTGAACCCAGTAAAGTACTGTGGACGTGCAGCTACTGTGCTTGCATACCCTCCACCCGGGTAAAGCTTTATGTTGTACTTGCATGCTCTTCATGGGCTTAACAGGGGTGATAGCGTTTCCTCTGTAAGGTTGCAAACAGCTGTCATGTTCTTAAAGAAAGTGCCACTGTAATACTGTTCATTATGGCTCTCCAGCTCTCATAACAAACCTTTTCATTGTGGCACAGCATACTCTGCATGCTCCTTTGTATAGCACAAACACTTTGTAGATAATGAAGGGTCAGCAATGGGCATTACAGGCTGGAGACACTTTGTTTCCTCCCTCAAACCTTCCCTGTCATAGGACTATACTTTGGGTAATAGGTATTGTTTCGCTTGGCTACACACATCTAATTTAGCTTTGTAGTGCTTTGAGACACATATTAGAAAAGCAACAATAAGAGATTTTGTGGATGGTTTTTCCAAATCTGGTTTTTAAAAGTTCCGATTCCACTTTTCCAATTTCCATTTTGTTGTTCTTTTAAAAATTATAAAAAAAAAAAAAAAAGATCAGATGTGAATAGTTATCTTTTTAGACTTGCTGCGGAAAAGGATTATCTAAAATAATTAATAATTTTGAAAGAGGCAGTTGTTGTAAATTAAAAAATATATATATATATATATACACATATATGTATGGATGTATGTATGTATGTATGTATGTATGTATGTATGTATGTATGTATATATATATATTCATATTCCCGTGAGAATGTGAAGGATTTCCTTTGCTGATTCTTATTTGAGTGTGTGTGCTCAGTTGTGAGGATAATTTTTAAAATTTCACCATCATATTGAGGAACCAAAGTGCAGACATTTTGCTGGTCCTCACAAGCTTTTTTTGATGACGTTTAGATTTAAGGCTAAAGTGTCAGTTAACTTAGGGTTAGGGTGAGTATACGCTGGTAAGTGTTATGTTTAGGTTTAGGGCATAGAAGGGGTTGTAAAGAAATGAAAATAAATGGAAGTCCGTTGGAGTTAAATGTCCTTGGCACATATAGCAAGATGAGAGTGTGTGTGTGTTTTTTGCTTTTAATACATTGTGGGGCCCTGTTTTTGGAAAAACTAATTGGTTTTGGGTCAGGGGTCATTTTTATATGGGAATTTAATTTAGGTTGGGGTTAGGGTAAGTTATGAACCCGTAATGGTTAGAGTTAGGGGATGTAATGGCGTCCAGAAATATGATATAAATATCTGCTTGCCTACATTTTCCTCAAGTCCTCTTGGTCATTCTTGGGTATTTTTAGCAGTCTGTTTTTGATGATTATCCTGACAGTGGACATAGCATCTCTCGCTAGAATATCTTGATAGTCTTGAAATTTCATTGTGCCCTGACACCATGTTCGAGATGAAGCAAAACCCAATAATATGGGCAAATTTTGTCACAGAAACATCAAGCTGTCTGGAGATGGTCTTAAAACCTTTTAAAATGCCTGTGTATCATTTTCCTTCTAATTTCCTTAGACAACTCTTTCCTTCACTTCTGTTGGTCCAAGTTGAGTGTGGTACACACCGTGTCACCAACAGCACAGGGACAAGCACCCCAATGGCTGATTGTAGAAACCTGTGATGCCAGTTAGTGGACACACCTTTATTTAACACGTCCCTTTGGTCACATTATTTTCTAGAGGTACCATATTTTTTGTCCAGGCCTGTTTCATGAATAGTTTTTTTTTTAATCTTTCTGTTAAACAGCAGTTTCTGACTTTCATTTGTTTGTTTTAATCCAGCAATTAATCTTCTACCACTTAACCCGTCACGGTCAGGTGGCTTGTGCTTCTTTCCAGTAGTCTAAGGGCAAACGACTTGCTACTACCTGGAGAAGTTGTCATTCTGTTGCAGGTTAATTTTCACCAAATTTAATTTATTATTGCTTATGTTTTAAGTTTTTTTTGTGTTACTATTGTTTTTTCTTTTAATAAATGAGTGGAATCAACTATTTTGTCCTTGTGTGTATGTGTTGTAGCAGCACGCATTAACTGCACAGATGGCTTAGAAACAAATTCAGCTTTTTTTTTTATTTTATTCTTGCACATTTTGTGCATCCTGAGTTTTTCAAACTCTTTACTTATACTGAACATAAACAGAAAGTAATACATAACTCTAAGTAATTTCCCTCTGGGATTATTAAAGTATGTCTGATTCTGTCTGTCTGTCTGATTCTAAGAGCTCTTCCCACATTAACGACTTAGGAATGAAAGATAATTTAATGTTAGTAATGACCTAGTAGTGCTTAGGTATGATGCATTTACTGATCAAAAAATATAAGATCTTTAAGGTTTGGACGAACTGGTCACTAATACGAGATGATTAAGCTGAAATCTGAAACATTCTTGTCATCAAAATGTTTCTCATTGCATGTCTGCATGTGTCTCATATGGTATGTGAAAAGAAATTGTTTAAAATTTTAGTTTATACCTCAGAAAAATCAATTCCTGTAGTGCTTGACCTTATTAGCATATTTGGAAAAATATCAGGTTATGAAATTAAGCTATCAAAATCCAATGCCTGTCTACTTAACTCAGATATTTCAACTGAACTTAAAATAATTTCTCCCTTCACCTAGGCACATGGTGGATTTAAGTACTTGGGAGTAAATGTCTCTCCTAACCTAAAGAACTTATTTCAAATAAACTACACCCCCCAACTTAACAAAATTAAAGAGGAATTGGAGTTTTGGACCCTGCCACCCATCTCTTTTATTGGCGAATAAATGTCATTAAAATGAATGTATTGCCACGATTCAATTATATTTTTCAGTCCTTACCATGTTACCTGAATAAACCATTCTTTCAGTCAACCAATAAAATAATACATTATTTTATATGGAAAAAACCACACCCAGGATCTCCGTAAAAACCCTGAGAAAATCAAAAGAAAAGGGCAGACTGGGTCTTCCAGATTTTCTGTTGTATTACTGGGCTGCACAGACTAAGGACATAATTAGTTGGATACAGAACCGGACAACAGCTCATTGGACAGAAATTGAGGGGGAACCCACCTCTATCACCACTCTGCCTTTCATCAACAACACAAAAGCTATAAAATCAATATCTTGAACATATGTAATAGCAAACAACCCTCAGGCTTGGCAAAATGTAAAGAGATTCTGTGGATCACATACCATCATTTCCAATGGCTCCTCTATCCTCTAACCCAGATTTGCCGCCACTAAAGGGGAATCTTTTTACTAAATGGAAAGAACATGGCATACATCAGTTCCAGAATTTATTGAAAGAGGAGGGCCCTCTAAAATCTTTTCTAGACCTCAGATCAGAATTTGACATCCCAAACCTAGACTTCTATAAATATCTACAGCTTTGCCATTATATAACCACTTTGGAAAAGTCAGGGCAAATGTCCTTTACTTTATCAACAATTGAGAAAATCATGGTAAACTCTACAAAGATGAAAGGGAAGACTATATATGGAGTATTACTAGAATATAATATCTCCTCCTTAATGTCACTAAGAACTGTATGGCAGAAAGATCTAGAACAAGATCTTGATGATGAGCTTTGGACCGAAATGTGTGATAATGTTTTTGTTTCCTTATCTTGTAACAAAATCATCAAGCAAAATTACAAATTCATGCATAAAATTTACCTAACACCAGTCCGTCGTTGCAAAATGTATTCTACTGCGTCTTCTAAATGTCATCGCTGTAAAATGTGTACTGGTTCTCTTATCCATGCAAGAAACTCAAACATTTCTGGAATGCAGTACATAGTCTTACAATGAAACTCTTGCAAATTCAATTCAAACTCTCACCTCTATTGTATCTCTTTGGTACAGATTCAGATAATACTCTAGACCCGATCTCCAATAAAAGGATTGGTATAATTGCTTATGTAGCTAAAAAATGTATAATGCTCAACTAAAATCAAGCTACAGCACCTACAATTAATGTATTTAAAGCAGTAATGACACCATGCAACTGGAGCACTATACTTACCACTTGAAAGGTAAAGAAAGGAGATCTTTTTGCTCAAACATTGGGACCCTTGATCATCACCTGACTTCTTCTATGTGATAGCCCATCGTGACCTAACACATGACTTGTTATCGTGCCTACCTGTCCTTTTTTTTTTTTTTATGATAACATTGATAACAATAATATACTTGAATTATTTTATTGTATTTATGTTTATTATTTTTCAATATTTTGTTTAACTATTTTTATGTAATATTAAGTTTCTATACACCCTTAATATTTGTAATTATTTTTTTTCCCCCTCTCAGCTTACATGTGTTCAGAATGTTGTTTGTGTAAAAAAATGAAAATCCAATAAATAAACAATTGAAAAAAAAATTAAAATTTGGGGTAAATTACTTTTTTCTGATACCATTTTAAAAGTATAAACTTACTTTTCTCAACAATGTTTTTTTTATATAGAACAGGATTTCGTTCTCCTATTTTCTTATGTTTGTCTCTGTCCTTTTTCTTGCACTGAAACTAAAATTGAGCTTCAACTGGAGCACTCCTGTCTTCTGCTTAGCCTCAGGCAGTCTCCTTTATTTAGCATAATGGACACATTTTCCACTGTTGGATGGCTTGCCCCTAGTGTTTTAATAAAAAAGGTAAAATGTGGCTTTCTAGAATTGTATCATTCAATATTACAGCTGTTTTCCTTTTAAAAAAGCGTTTTGCCAGAGCATGGACAGTGGGCATTACTCAGTACTTAAAACCTTTATGTATCTAGAAGTGAATTTAACACATCCCTAATGGGATGTGTCTTCTAAATGAGGTGGTGTTCATATTAAGCAAAGTAGTGTGGATATAAAATTAAATAATTGCTTCTGGGTAGAAAATATGTACAGAATCTTTCTTTAAGCCTTTCTTTAATGTAACTTTTCCCTCCTAGATGACTCAGGAGATGAGGAGCCCACAACACAGTCGGACCGCAGTGAAATTCAGGGTACCCTGAAGATACTTGTCAGCAAGCTTGATGACCTCAGCACTTGTAATGACCTAATCGCTAAGCATGGAGCTGCCCTGCAGCGTTCCCTCAGTGAACTGGAAGGATTGAAAGTCCCATTGGAAGGAGGGGAAAAGATCAAGGCAGTTAACGAGCGAGCCACCCTTTTCCGCATCACTTCCAATGCTATGATCAATGTAAGTACTCCTGACACTACCATTAAAAGATGCGCCAGCAGTATGTCTTCAGTGGTCTGTGTCCTGCATGCTGCAGAATGATCATGGGGACAGGAATACCAGTCATCTATGATGTCCTGGACAGTAAACTATGAGAGATTAGATGGTCACACAGAGCCAACCTGCTGCCTACATGTTTAGACTGGCATGTTTACAACCTATCAGATCACATTTAAGCTGCCAAAACACAACCACATCTATCGCCATCTAATTTAACTGCTTGACTTAAATTCTATTGACTCTTTTTTCAAGATACACAAAACGACCAGTTTGTTTAGGGTTTCATAGGTCTTATTATGTAGTAGTTGTGCTAATGGTGAATGAGAATTCAGGTAGGGGGTTGGGATCCCAAAGGAGCAGCACTAAATATGATATTCAGTAAGGATGACAAAAATAGCTCTGGCCCCCTACGTTTCTAAAATTCTCGACAGCAGCTCGTAGAGAAATCTCAGCACACGTTGGGCTGAACAGACTGAACTGAGTGAAGGCAAGAAAGAATACAAGGTCTGTTTTTTTCTACTTTTTTATGAGAGTTTGATTTTAGGATCTTAGTAATAGCTGTTGTGTTGATCTTGAATGTTTTTCTCTATTGGTCAGATGTATTGCACCTTTTTCTATACAGTGCGCAAATTCTGAGCTGCCGTAGATGCATATTAAGTTTGCAGTAGTATCTTGAGTTAATTTATGATCATTTGAAGTCTTTTTTTTTATTATTCTTTACATACAGTACCTCGCAAGATTTGTCAAAAAAAGCTATGTTCAAGTTTAAAGAATAGCAAATAATTAAAAAGTAGTTTCTAGATATTTTCATAAAATATTCTGAAACCTGTGGTACACATTTGAATGCAGTTTTACTTTTTACTAACCAATATAGACAATCAATCCTACCTTTATCCTGTTGCCTTTTAAATAAAATCCAATACAAGCAATAGCTTTAGAATTTCACCTATTTAGTAAAATAGAGACCACCTCTGTGTTACTTGGTATGGATATAATGTTCAGGTGAAATGGGAACAACATTCAAAATCCTCTTTCTTTCAAAAAGCTCTGTGGTTAAATGAAAAATACAAACAAAAAATAATCAAACAATACATGTCCCCCTTCATATGCTTTCACTGGGGTAAAACATGGGGTTGGTGGCATCATGCTCTGGCGTGCTTTTCCCTTTATAACGAATGACCTGCAAGCTAGGCACTCTCTCTCTCTCTAGGAAATAGAAAAAATTGTTGAAGGCTTTTGCGATTTGAGCAGTGCGTTGCCTTTCAGCAAGACAAGTCAGAACAGGCCAGGCAGTTAAATACTTCCCTCTTTAAATGCACACAGCTGTTGGACTGTTAATATTTTGAATTGTAATAAAGTTGCATTTGACAATTATGCCCTCTTTTGCTTTGCCTGTCAAATAAAATCTCTGTAAGATACAGTGGTTATGTGGTTGTAATGGGAGAATTTCACCGCTGCAAGCTATAACAACTTGAAGAAAAAATAAATATCTTCAAGCAGTGTAGAAATAGTATCCGTTCCAGTATTTTTACATTAACATCAAATGCTAGAACATCTTAACATCAAACATTTTTCCTTCTTACAAATGTGTAACC